ATAAATAATTATAATATTTTTGAAATGTATATTTTTTTTCTGTCATCTATAATACTAGAATTACAATTTTTTAAGTTCGTGTTTTATGATGATTTGATTAATATAAATATTACGTAATTTTTGCACCAATAATATATGTTATTTGATATTCAAAATGGCGCATATGTAACGCATGCGAGTACCAACTAGTATATTAAAGAGAGAGTGGCTTAAATTTTTTTATAAAATAATTAAAAAAATCCGAATAAATTTGTAGATCCGGATGCGGTCTTTTCATAAGACGAGATTCACGGCAAGCGAAGGTGCCCCCACATCCAGGGGCAAAGTCGGGAAACTGAAAAATGCTTTTACGAGGTTGAGCTTTTTAAGGAGTTTTGAGTTGACAGACATTAGACATGAAAAAATATATATATAAAAAAAATATGGCACGTGCAAGGCGGCTGATTAAGGACCGTCCCTCAGGTAGTTGTTACCTAGTTGCGTGACAACTTTAATTCCAAACTAGTGATCAACTGTATTTTATTATTCAAAATAAAAAAATGTCATGCAATCTAACTTTATAACTTAAATTTGTATTTGAAATGAACGGGGGGATCGTTGAATTAGTGGATCTCATTTAAAAAGTTGATGAACCCCTCTCATTCACGTAATCCTATCCGATGGTATACTGTACTCGATCTTAAACTTGTATCCCATCATTCCCCTTATTTGTTTGTTCAATAATTACAATAGTAAATTCGACAAACAATCATCTATTTTATCACATCTTATATAACAAATATATCATTTTACCCTTAACATATTCCATTCCATTCCATTTTACCCTTAACCATCTATATAAGGAAAAAATTCAAAATAATTTTAAAAAAGATATCGGTAACATCATACGCTTAAACATAATATAAGAAAAAAATTTAAAATAATTTTTTTAAAAAAATGGTAATATCGTACGCTTAAACATAATATAAAGAAAAATTTCAAAATAATTTTTTTTTTTTAAATTTTTTTTAAAAAAATCGGTGACACCGTACGCTTAAACATAATACAAGGGAAAAATTCAAAATAAATTTTAAAAAATAATAAAAAAAAATCGGTGACATCGTATGCTTCAAAATAAATTTTTTTAAAAAATATTTAAAAAAACCCGGTGACACTGTACGCTTAAACATAATACAAATAAAAATTCAAAATAAATTTTTTATATGTGAACTCCTCGCATAGGAGGGCATTTGTGTCATTTTACTCGTTTATACTGTCCTTTCACTTGTATCAGAAAGATAATACCACCTGTTAGATGGTATTACTTAGTACCATATAGAAAGTATTAAAGTCACTGTTCACACCGGCTCAGTACTACAACCCGAAAAATAATATCGAGCGTAAAATGCCAAACAAACATAGTATAAAATGAACCCCATGTACTATTTCCCTGATACCACCCATATCTTGGAAGCTTGTTTGAGGTATAAAGGTAGTATAAGGAAAATAATACGTGGAGTATATCTTATACCTTGTTTGTTTGATATTTTTTACTCGATATTAATTTTCGGGTTATAATACTGACCCGATGTGAACAGTAACTCTTATATCTTGTATACGGTGCTAAGCAATACTACCTACCTGGTGGTATAATATTGTCGGTATAAATTTTATTGAGGTATAACAAAATAAAAAGACCCAAATGTCCTCATCTACAATGCCTCATACAAAAGTCAGTTGCAATTGTTGACTTTTTTTAAGGTTACAATTGTCTTTTACATTGAATAGTTACAATTTTTGACTTTTTAAAGTAGGTATTACATAGATAATATTTGTGACAAACAAACAAGGAGAATGATGTGATTATAGTTTAAGACCGAATATAATATACCATTGAATTGGAGTGAAATAAATATAAAATTTTATACCACCTAAATCTTATACCTCAAACAAACGGGTCTAACTATCTTAATGATGGTCTTGGAAGTACACGATTCAAGTTGCTATAAATTAGAGGGGGTGCACCGGTAGAGTTTTACGAATTTGAGTCTGATTTTATGAAACTCGTTTTTTTTAACAAGTTTAAAAAATTGTTTAAACTCGATTTGTTTAGAAAATAAGTCGATCTCGACTACTCGAGCCCGAGGCCGAACTCAATTATTTGACATATAAACGAATTAAGTTTTACGAATTCGAGTGAAGTTTTTTATGCTTGCTTTTTTAAACGAGTTTAAAAAATTATTCAATTTCAGCTCATTTAAAACACAAGTCGAACTCGAGCCAAATCTTATCCGAACTGAACTTGAGCTTGAGCCCAAATCTAAATAAATCGTTTCGATTAACACTCCTATCACAGAGTTTGCCTTGAGAGCATATATTTATAAGAAACTTTGTATTAGTTAGTCAGACAAACTTGACCAATATAGGAAGGAATACATAGGGGTTCGACTCAAAAATTAATAAATTTTTAATAAGATAAAATTGTGTAACACTTATCTCTCAAACTTAGTATGGATAAGCTTTCTAGACTAATTGTATGATATTTTCTTGAAAAACTTGAAATATAAACCATGGGCACCAAATGAAAGCTCTATTGGTCAAAATTTTTTTTTTTTCCCGAGAAAAAGGAGATTAAGTTAAAATTTGCAATGAGATGCTGGTGGAAGTAATCTATTATTACTTATTATTGGCTATCTATCTATATTTATACTACGAATAAAAGTATCTTATTATGAATTTTTTTTAATTTATTATTTTATCCTTATAAAGAATTATAAAAGTCATTCTATCATTGCATAGTTAAATATTTAAATTACCATCATATTCTTATGTGTTTAAAATTTTAAATTATTCTTTAACATCTGTTTCTAATTATCTATTATTCTCTATGTATAAATATCAATATCTATAAAATTTTCTTAAAAAAATATGCATCATTATAATCAGTAGTATATTTTATTCCAATTAACCTAATTAATTATTAATTATAGTAAGGTTTCAATATAATTAAGATATTGATAATTATTTTTATTTTAATCAATAAATTATAAGTAGAATCCTAATTAAATGAATTTTAAAAAAAAATAAATTTTCAAATATCACTAAAAAATACTCCCAATCCAAAAATTATAAAAAAATAGAACTTTAATTATTAATATTTTTTTATCTTTTTTTTTATAGTTAGACAAATGAATTGTTAGGATAGTCAAAATTTTATAATACAATTTGAGCGATAAGAAAAAAAAAGTTTGGTAAGTTTGATATAATATTTAATTTCAACGTACATATATCTTATATTTTTTATGTATAAAAATTAGTCGCGTGAAAGCTAGTTAACCGAAAAAGTCTATCACCACCAAAATTTATTTAATGAAGTGAAGTACATTGAAGCGATCGAGGAGGCACTTTACACTCATTTTGCTCTTTTCTTTTCTTCGTAGATGTAAGCTTAGCAGCATCGTGTACAGTAATAGTATGATTAATGTTTTCAAAGGTCCCACATATTGTCATGGATTGTCTTTGACTAGGAAAATATAGAGACAAGGGAAATCAGAGACCAAGAAAGAAGAGAAAAAGTAAAATCTCGAACAATTATTTTTTGAATTTAATTTATTGATCAAATAGAATTATTATTATTAGATTGAGGGTAGATCTCCCATAGTATTAATCCGCATTTATTATTAATTCAATAATTATGATTCATTAAATCAAAAAATTAGACTTAAATAACATTTTTTCAATCTCATCTAAACTCCTTTTTGATCCGATCAAATGCAACAAGCGAATGAATTATAAATATATCACTTGCAATATCATTAAGTCGGGTATTAAGTTTCAATAATTAATAAATTAATTAAAATTTATTAATTTAATGGTTATGATCCGTCATGTCACCAAGTAACACTAAATTAGATACACAAAATATTTTTTTTTTTTAGGAATACGTGGATTGACATGTCATATATAATCTATAATATAAAACATGATATATTTCAATAAGTCAATTCAACGGTCTAAAACAGACTCATTCAAGAGCCATCAATAATCCCTCCCAAAACCATTTACTACCATTCACATTAACACGAACAAAGCAATTTTTAGTTTTGGGCTTATCGAGGGTTGGTTCTCCACCAAGCCCAGGTTTTGAATCTCCTCTATAAAGTACGGTCCTCCTCTAAGGCCACCATTTTGGGCCTCACCTATAAGGCCTGTCACGTTCAAGTTTGTAGAGCCCTCAATGTGTAGAAAGAAGAATATTCTTCTAGTAGTAAGTAATGAATTAGCGATTGTTCTAACGACGGTAGTTATAAATTCGAACTTCATCATCCTTCTTTCTTCTAATAGTGTTTAACCGAAAAAAACATTAATATTTTGTAAAAAAATATCAACAATTTTTTTAAAATATTGTTCTTAAAAAGTAAAAAAAAAAATCACATCATATTCTTAAAATTACAAGACTTTATCTTCTTATTTTGTATGGATTTATAATAACTCTGACATATTTATTTAATTTTATTTTTTTGAACTATTTTTTGAGTTAAGTTAATTTTAATATAATTAATTATATAATGTGTTTGTTTTGCAAATTATTTTTCACTTGAAATATATATATATACATACCAAAGATATAAATTTAAATATTTAAAATATAAAAATAAAAAAAAAAATTATTTATCAAAAAATAATTTAGGACCCCATTGAAAAATTTTGCCTAGAATCTGAAGTATACTTCCAGCCTGACAATTTGGTAGAGCTAACTTATCAAGTAAGAGGAAGACCTTGGGTTGACTCGACATAAGTGCAATGTGGTCTGCTGTCAATAGCTTTGTAGTGCGAGGGACAATACTCGACAAATATCTATCTATTTTATGCACTAAAAAAAAAAAAAAAAAAAAAAACAGAAGGGAATATTTACTACATTTACAGCAATCAAACAAATGCCCATTGCTCTCAAACCCAAACAGTGCTTTCTTTTATCCTTCCTCATTTCAGACACAAATCCGAAATCGAAGCAAACGAAAATGGAACACCCCCACAACACCAGCAGAGCCGAAGCTGAACGCTTGCTCGGAATCTCCGAGAAGCTGTTACTCAACAGAGATCTCAACGGCTCAAGAGAGTTCGCACTCTTAGCCCAAGAAGCCGAACCCTTACTGGACGGCCCAGATCAGATCTTGGCCGTTACCCAGGTCCTTCTCGCCGCCGATAAGCGGATCAACAACCACCACGACTGGTACGCTATACTCCAACTCGAGCGCCGTTCCGACGACCTCGAACTCATCAAGAAACAGTTCCGGCGACTGGCTTTTCTTCTACATCCGGACAAAAACAGGTACGCTTTCTCTGACACTGCGTTTAAGCTGGTCGCCGATGCTTGGGCTGCGTTGTCGGACTCGAAAAAGAAGTTTCTGTTTGACAATGAGTTGGGTCTGTACTCGAAGATCGATCTGGTGGCGACGAAGAAGCAGAGAGAATTTCAAAAGCAACAACCACCACCACCAAAACAGCGTCAAAACGATCAGGATCATCAGACATTTCCGGTGAGACGGGGCTCGCCGCCGGCGAGTACTGGCGGGGAGAAGGAAACGTCGAGTTTTTGGACGGCGTGTCCGTACTGTTACAACTTGTATGAGTATCCCAGGGATTACGAGGGGTGTTGTTTGAGGTGTCAGAACTGTGAGAGGGCTTTTTCGGCGGTGGCTATTCCGGAGATGCCACCATTGGTGCCGGGGAAGGAAGCGTATAATTGCTGTTGGGGATTTTTTCCGATGGGGTTTACGGTTTCGGGGTCGGAGGTTGGCAAAAGTGGGGGGTTTCCAGTTTGGGTGCCTCCCACGTTTTCTACAGGTGGGACGGCGACGACGGAGCCAGCGGTCTGGCCGAGTGGTGGAAACGGCGGTGGGTTTGTGAATGTGGCGGAAGTGAATGTGACTCCGGCTGGTACCATGGCTAAGAAGAAGAGAGGTAGGCCTAGGAAGGTTGTGCAGGTGTAATTAGGGGTTTTTGGGGGGCCCAATGGGTTGAAATGGTGTGATTACGTCGTCGTTTTGAGAACAAAAATGTCTCCACCCCTTGCCGTTAGCATTTTGGAAAGTGAAGTTGATATGGGTTTGGGAAGCCTGTAGGCATGGTTATAGTTTGTTTGTTTATATGTAGCGTATGTAGGGCTTAGATGCTTGAAGAATGTAGATTTGCCTTGTAACTGACTGCTTCAGTGATGAACTGTTTAACTTATAATCCAGCAGGAATATGATTTTGGCAAGAATTAGATGATTGGTCTCTAGTTATATTGAGCAGAGCTTACCGATTTTACAAAATCAAATGACTCAAAATTTAAGAGGTAGACATCTTAAATTCGAATCTCGATAATTTTTTTTGAACTGGGTTACGAAGGATTTATCTACTGCGAGTATGCAGAAACTGAGCTGAACACTCTGGCTATTGAAAAAAAAAATGGCACACCTTTTGCAAGCATAATATAAGCTTGCTAGTGAGGTAGCAATAACCTGCATCACACTCCTCTATTTTCCTTCCCATTTCTGATGTGTCACTTTCTGCACTTAGTAGTGAGGTAGGCCATAACAAACCAAGCCAAACCAAAGGTGATCGATAATCTACAATGTTATTTTCAGTTCCATGCGCTGCATCGGACGAAAACGTTATAAGAGGTCTTTTTTCAAGCCTTGGTATTGCCATAGCAAATGGTTTATGGGGTGAAATTACAAATATCGTTATCATGGCTGAAAACAGAACACACCACCAACAGACATGCTAGGAATTTCTTCAAACACATAGCAATAAGGCAATCAATGTCTCCGACATCTGTTGGGGAACACACTGATAAAGAAGGTAGAGGAACAGATCAATTCATGGTAACAGCTAATATGGAAGTTTAAGCTCAAGTAGCCCACCCCTTCATCTAGCACCTCTTCGGACAGAATACTCAACCCTTCCAATCAACAAAACCGGCACCTATTGGGTAACACAGACCTGTATGAGTGTCCTCTTTTACTTATTAGGAACCTACCTTAGTAAGAACTCACTCACCAGGACAACATCTTTCGAGCATGCAGTAGAATCACAACCACAAGCATAACGAGGCTGGCAATATTTAAAATTCTCATCACAACAACAAAATACAATGGTATAGCATATATGCTCTATATTTGTACTGAGGTTAGATTGCAATTCTGCAAAGGATTGAGCAAATTTAACCAATCCGATCACTGTATCAAATGCTCACCCAAGATAAAGACCTGCCCCACTTCGCAGTCTAGAACCCGGAAAAGTTTGAGAAGGGACATCCTCTTTCATTGCAAAGATTCAAACATGAATAAGATTAACAAAGAAAGAAGAAAGAGTTCCATCCATAAGAAACCAAGTAAGTTGCAACCCGATATAGAATTCCATCAACCTATGCTTCCAACAATTTGATTCATAGTTCATATCTCCTTCTACATTTCAAACCTGCGTCCAAGGTCTTCATCATTTGAAACATTTCAACACAGTTCAACAATGATTCCACTTTGTTAGAGTAACCCAATCTCCCCAAAATACAGAAGTTTATAACCATTGGAAGTTTCATTTGTATACTTCACTTTAATTTCATGGATTGACTTAGAGTGGGATGAGAGCCAACTACAACTACCAATATGGAAGCCCTTTTCTTGCACATACACCTGTCGAACTAGAGGAAGGAAAAGCATTATATCCACCCATGGAAGAAGCGTGGAACAGAAAGCCTTGACGATGGGACAAATGGCTTGTCCTCGGCACCAGAAAAAGAAAAAGAAAGAAACATGACCCTGCTTCTACAGTCGAGTCTACTCTACCCTTGTTCTTCGAATGAATTGAAAGACGCTTGCCTTTTCACAAGGCTTGTGAGCTGTGCCGTCTACCACCTAAAGCACTTGGGAAAAAAAATAAATAAATGAGTTTCTAGGAACTAGCAAGGAAGATTTTGAGCCCAACGACAAATCGAACCGACGGGTGGGGCATTTTGAGGTAGTAGCCCGCTCCGTCTCTTTTCGAAACAAAGGGGGTGTGAAGACGAACCAAAGAATAGTTACTTTTAACTGATGGAATAATCGATAATTTGCAATGTTCTATAAGCTAAAGAAAAAAAAGTAGCATTTTCAGTACAGGAAGCAAATTATCCAAAAGACTAAATTCAATTAAAACAATAATGCATCCACAAATTCATAGAAATCCAATTCTAGTCATTGAAAAATTCCAAGTAACAAAACCCAGATTAAGACTATGAAGATTTAGCAGAAGAATTAGAGAGCTTAAGGCACTCACTTTGACACCTCTTAAGACAGCTATCATTCCAATTGGGCACTTGATGCTGATTAACACAAACAGTTCTAGCACATGCATCGGCACAAGCATCAAGCTCAGAGACACCACAAACAGTAACGCAAGTATCAGGAGTTGGGTCCTTAGAAAATGCACCAACCTTCTTGAGCATTCTCTTGGAAGTACAAACCCTCTCGCAAACAAATATATCGTCGGAGCTCTTCTCTCGCCCACCAACACCCTTCAGCCTCTGCTCTTCGTGTCTCCTATTCTTCATCCTCAGAGCCTGTCCTGCCACCATCGCAGGCACGGCGGCTCCGAGTAAAGACCACCACCAATCCACCATTACTTTCAATCACGAGCTTTTATTTTTCAACCCTTTACTCTTCCAACTGTTAATCGAAATACCCAGTTGGAAAAAATAATAATTAGGGCATATCAGAGCAAAACCCCTATGTATACATAAGTAGAGAGAGAGAATAAATTCTCACATAAATGGCAGAAACAACCCTAAATTCTCAGAGTATAGCTATGTATAAATACGAATGACAAACTCATCAAAAGAAAGATTTCTGACCTTCAAACCTAGAGAGAGAAAATCGAGGGAAGGGTTTTAACTCGAAGACAGTTCAGGGTTTAATGGTTTATTGAATAGAGCGAACTCTGCAAAGCGACGTCTGTTAGCGATGAGGGCCGAAATGCGCAGACGGCGTACGGTAGCGAATCAAGCCAGAGGTTTTTAGATCAACGGTTGTAGATGGGTTTTGTTCGGTGGGACCCGTAAGCTTTGTAATCGTACGGTCAAGGGGAATTTAATTGAAGGGTTAATTACAATTTATCCTCCCCAGCTATGCATCTCATAACAATCAACTCTCTATAATTGTACATACTGTAATTTGTCTGTTTCAATAGTGGTCGAAGTATGAAAGTATTATTATTTTCTTTATTTTTTATATTATTTTTCTTATTTTTTTGATTTGATATCAATTTTATACTTAAAAAATTATAAAATTCAAGAAAAAATATATCTATTTAATCCAATACTAACACATTGCATAACATGCGTACGAGTATTCACTCTTTTTCGGGAGTAATTATATTTTTTCAATA